GCCTCTTTTTCTACAAAATGACCCCTGTATGAAAAAGCCTGAAGTCAGCCTGCTGCTTCCATAAGATATCCACTTGTAAACATGTTTTTTTTTTCAAGGACTTTTGTATAAATATGCCTGGTGTTGGTGCAAAATGAATGAGAATTTCAGCTGAAACTCAGAGTGTAGCATCTGAGAATTCCTGCTTGAAACAGACACTTGATTTTGAAAGGAATGTTTTACAAGCAGGAAGTAGACTGGATTGCTCAGGAAAACACCATAAGCCGTCTCTGATCATCCTGAAAATATTTTTTGTCATCTAAAGGGCTCACTTTCACTGCCTGCAGAGGGCTGAATGCAACTGGTAGATTATGAAAGGAATAAGGACAAAAGTATCCCCTTGGTAGCTGACTTGAAAGGGAGGCACTCAGCTGACATAATGCATTCAGTCCATCATACTCAAGACAGCTAAATCAGTACTCCAAACACAGTATTTCTATTGAAGGCTTCTTACACTGGCATTCTTGGGCATCTGTAAACAGGAGAAATAACCTTCGTTTCCATTTCTCTCTTCTGCAATTATACTTGTTTAAAATGCACAGGATTTCTTCCAATCACCGGCGACTTGGTTTTGATTTGGCCTCCAAGTCCAAAAGGGATTGTCAGAACTCAGCAACACTCAGTCCTAAAACCCCTCTTTACTATTGTTGGCACTTTTAGGAAAACACCAAAGACCGTGTCCTTGTTGTACAGACTTGTTTGAAAAGCTCCACAGAGGAAATAGGGACAGCACAATCAACATTTACAAAAAATTATAAGTATTTGGTTCCCTTTAACTTCCCCCTAATCAGTTAGTCTTCTGGGTACTGATAAAAGCCACAATTTAAAATGGAGGTTTTCAAGACATAAATAACAACCAGGCAATCAAATCACCCAGAATTCAAATAACAGGGTACATGCATGAAAACTATGATCCCCTGTTCTTTGTTTTCTTCTAGTGACTAAACCAGAATACGTCTTTCCAGACCTTATAAAGCCTTACAACCATGTAAGCTTATATTGTGTCATTTGTGTTTCTGAAAATCTTAATACTGAATAAGGATTGTAAATTTATGTTAAATGGAGAAAGTAAGAGAACTTGTTGAAACACATTTCCAAATTTGTTTTTAGTGTCAGGCCACTTCCCCCTCTCCCCTCCCAAAATTATGGTACGAAGTTGAGGCACAAGGGTGATTAAGTGAGAGTCTGGACATGATCCGATCCAGCAGCAGCTTCTTGCACTGGTATGGTTCCTGGTGGTAAAGGCTGTCTGCTTCCTTCAGGATTGTTTTGAGTATTCCCAACTGGTTGTGCCCCATCTGAAACACAAAAACATGAAGAACTCTGTCAAACAATTGTCCGTCATGCTCTGCATTTGGATCTGAGAAAAGTACATGGAAGCAGCAGCACACATAACTTGATAGGTGTACTGCAGAATGGAATACTTTATCTTCGGTCTCACACACACACACCTATTTCCTGCAATTTTTTTCTCCAGGAATTAGAATCTTTCCTAATTCTGAATTATACCATATTTACCTGAAATTAAAATGATCGTAATTGTAAAACAACCCTCTAAAAAAGTTTTTACTACCAAAAAAACGATTTTGTGACCTGTAATTTATATGTGAAGTTAAGGCAACCCCCTATTTGTTTTAACTGTACTCTAAGGAGCTACGGTGGCTCAAGTGGTTAAGATGCTGAGCTGCAGGCTGTGGAAGGCCAGTAGTTCAGCAGTTCGAGAACCGAGTTGCCGCATGATGGAGTGAGCTCCTGTCTCTAGTTCCAGCTCCTGCCAACCTAGCAGTTTGAAAACAAGAAATTGCAAGTAGATAAATAGGTAACACTTCAGTGGGAAGATAACAGCATTCTGTGCGCCTTGGTGTTTAGTCATGCCGGCCACATAACCACGGAAACGTCTTCGGACAGCGCTGGCTCTTCGGCTTTGAAACTGAGATGAGCACCGCAACCCAAGAGTCGGACTCAACTGGCTTTCGAGCAAGGGAACCTTTACCTTTACCTTTAAGGGGGGAAACCTAGCCTTCCCTTCAGGCAAATAGGGTATTTTCTTCATTTATCACCTAAAGGGGGGAAAAGAACATACTCTGATGGCAAAGCGTTCTTCTATTTAACCAAAGGCAAACCCCATACATGAAATCTTGCACCACATGATGGGGCTAGTCTAAAGTCAAAGTCAACTGAGGTAAATTGAGAAAGCCCTCTTACGTAGCATCACTATGTCCCCATTACAGAACAAGCAGAGGTCTGGATAAGAAGTCATATCTTGAAAAAGTAAAAACGAATCCGCTTACCACCCTCCGTGATTAAGTATATACATTATCTGAACACCCAGATATAAAACACTCGCATAGACCTTGGCTAATCGTTCGCACTAACTTTTGTAAACATTTAGGGGGGAAATTCTCTAAGACACAAATCACCAAGTGAGCCTTTCCACATCATTATCCAATAGTAGCACATGAACAGTATTTCAAGACTCCAGTTCAAAGTGAGGGCATGTAAAATTTCACAACAGGCTCACAAGGGGAAAAAAAAGAAAACAGCTTGATAAAAACAAATCTAAATTTAAAACAGCACCCACAAACACAAGCAGCAAAATAGTACTCTCTAAATAAGGAGCTGCGGTGGCTCAAGTGGTTAAGACGCTGAATTGCAGGCTGTGGAAAGTGGGTAGTTCAGCAGTTCGAGACCCGGGTGCCCATGACTGAGTGAGCTCCCGTCTCTAGTTCCAGCTCCTGCCAACCTAGCAGTTCGAAAGCAAGAAATTGCAAGTAGATAAATAGGTACCACTTCAGTGGGAAGGTAACAGCGTTCCGTGCACCTTGGTGTCTAGTCATGCCGGCCACATGACCACGGAAACGCCTTCAGACAGCGCTGGCTCTTCGGCTTTGAAACGGAGATGAGCGCCGCAACCCTAGAGTCGGACTCGACTGGCTTTCGAGCAAGGGAACCTTTACCTTTACAACTCCTTCCAGAGAAACAGCTTAGGAGCAACCTAACATTCCTGTTTTCAGTAGACGCTAGTTTTGCAGGGTGCTATTGGAAGGCAGTTAAGACAATCAGAATCATTCCCCTTCTCCCACCAGTCGCAACCTGAGCAACGTTTTAGGTAGTAGCTTGTGTAGCTTCTCTGCTGCTGCTAATACAGTGCAGCAGCAGCAGCAATGGGGTTTCCACATGGCAGCTTTCCCTGTTGTTTCCCTGCCTCAGTCCCCTGACAGTGGCCACTCCC